TTACAGGGGTGCAGAAAAAAAACAGCCGCTCGGAGGGCGTGGCTGGCAAGCAGCGCTGCTGAACACCACCCCCTGCATGCATGCCTGCATTCATACGCCTATAAAACCAGTGCCATGAGGGCCCCCACCCCCTGCCTGCCCACCTGCGGGTCCTCATAAAAGAAGCAGGAGGCCTGCGGCTCCTGCACCAGCCCCGCCAGCTCAGCACGGCCCGGCGTCACCACGCGCAGCCCCCGCACGCGGTCGGGCGTGGACAGCGCCGCGGGCGCGGGCTGCGCCTCGGGCGGCGGCGGCGCAACCGCCGCCGCCGCCGGGCGGCGGCCGCCGTTGGCCGCCGCCGCGGGCGCGCCGCGCGGCGACTCCCTGCCGCCCCTGTCGCGCCAGTCGGCGGGGCCAGGGCCGGGGCCGGGGTTGGGGCCAGCGGCGTAGCCGCCGCCGGGCGGCCCGCCCCGCCCGCCCCGCCCATTCTCCAGCGGCGGCGGCAGCGGGCGGCGGTCGAGCAGCGGCGGCGGCGGGCCGCGGCTGCTGGGCAGCATGTCCATCGGATCTGGGTAGCCGCCACGCTCAGCAGGGTAGCCCCCTCGCTCCATGCGGTCCATCATCATCGGCGGCGGCGGCCCCGGGCTGCCGGGGCGGCGGCCGTAGCGGGGGGACACCAGCGGGCGGCCGCGCGGCGGCGACAGCGGGCGGCCGCCGCCCATGCGGAGCGGCGACAGCGGGCGGCCGCCCATGCGGGGCGGGGAGCGAGGGCGGCCCGGCGGCGAGCGGCCTCTGCAGGGGGGGAGGGAGGGGGCAGCAGGCGGGGTCGGTCGGCGAGGAGCACAGCATGCCTGCAGGCTGGCTGCTACACTATTAGTCTAAGGAACGGACCTCCCAGCCCACAGCTGTGTTGAGCAGCGCATGCTGGTGCGGGCTGGCGCCCTTGCCGCACACCTGATGCCTGGCGGGCCCATCATGCCGTGCGGCGGCGGCCCGCGGGCGTACATGGGCGGGCTGGGGCTGCGCCGCCTGTCGTAGCCGGGCGGAGGCAGCATGCCGCCGCCGCCGCCGCCGCGCACCGGCGGCGGCGGCGAGCGGCCGCGCCCGGGCGGCGGCAGCCGGTCCAGGAACGGCGGCGGGGGGCCGCGCGCCATCGGCGGCGGGGACATGCCGCGGCGCGGGCGGGGCGGCGACAGCGGGCGGCGGGGGGG